TATGAGTTTTATGAGTCTTTAATGTGACTCTTCATGTAACTTGAGGACAAGTTACACAAACACATTTTATACTCAACTCTTAGATTAAAATGGATTGAAAGCAACTATTTCAATTAACTTTTCTATTAATCTAAGCAACTCATAAGAACAAGATAATTCATATCAAACTTCTTCATGTAATTAGTCTAAACCTTAAACTAATACAAAACATGAATCTATTGACAATTATCTTTGAAAATGGATTAGCATGAACATTACCACATTAAAAAACAAGTTTATAAGTTCAAAAACAACTTAGGGTAATGTTCCTAGTCCATTTCTAGCCAAAAACCTCGAAAATATGCTGTCTGGGGTCCAACTCGTCGAGTGCATGAACCAACTCGGCGAGTTGGATCGTTTTGATCAATTTTTAGGCATGGACTCGCCGAGTCCCTTGATGGACTCGCCGAGTCTGATGATCAAACAGCAACACTTTCGATTTTTTAAGCATCTATTGCAGGTATAACAAGAAAACAAGCCTAGGCTCTGATACCACTGTTGGGTTTTGAGCATTCTAACACTCCTAAGTGTACATGCAACCCTAAATACCTTGGATCTATGTTTTCTCTATTATACATGCAAATAAGAACATCCAAGGTATTATCCTAATCTAGCATACAAAACAATGAGTGTAACAAGATAGAATACATACCTCTTTGATGTAGAAAGTCTTCATGAAGCTTGAGTGCCTAGCCCCAATAGTGTGGAAGCCTCAAATGGAATCACAATCATCAAAACACTTAGAATAACTTGAGAGAGTTCTACACTTCATGAAATCGGCTAGCCCTCTTCTTCACTTTCTAATGTGATTCTAGTGGCCGATTTTGTCAAGAATAAGATCTTTATATAGTGTTACAATTAGGGTAAATCCTTAATTGTCATGGCTTTCCATTTCCTTGGATCCATGGGTTCAAATACACCATGGAGCATCCATGGACCATCCTATGGGTTTTAGCCCAACTTGATTATCCATGGAGCATTAGTCCACTATACAAGTATGGATGATTTACACAATCAACCCATATATTTAATTAGTCTTCTTTTGATCACTTAATTAATCCTAGATTAATTCTTGATCAATACTAATTAAATAATCTTATTATTCTTATTATTAATATACTAGAACTTATAATATATTAATAACCATAAGTGTCTTATTTCTCTCATTATAGTCTATCCAAGTGCATGATGGTATGCAACCCAAATGGACCATGTCGGGTCGGGTCAAGTCTTACCAATTATAGTTATGGACTTAGACATTAATCCAACAATGATTAGGCGGTAAACATTAGGAGAAACCCTTAGCAATGAAAATATAGATTACGATGATTAAGCGAGGAATATTAGGAGAATATTTAACAATGAAATGCGATGTTAGTGATGATCCTTAGGATATGTTCTCATAAATGAATATAGAAGAAAAAAAGGATGGATAATTGTGTTAATTGTTTGTTTGATAATTAAAAATATTAACTATATTATTGTGGGTTAAAAACTCTATGTACTCACCAGGTTTCCCAACCTGACCCACCAAACTTCTTTGTATCATAGGTAGCAGTACAAATGTTCATGCATGATGAGAGATTCAAGGAGATGTAGACTGATAGTCTAAAGATATTGTAAGGCCTGTTTATGCTTATGTTTTGTATCATTTATGACATACCAAAGTTTTTAATAATTAATGAAAAACATTTTATTGGAAATACTTTTATGGGACCAATTCCACATTTATAAATAAACTATGTTTTAAATAAGCATAAATAAAAAAATTTAAAATGGACATGAAAATAAGGATGTCACAGTTGGTATCAGAGCATTAGTTTAATTGAACTAGAAATTTAAAGGA